GTCATGGCTGTCACCAACCTTATTTTCTGTCCTCAGGAGATGAGGACAAAGACTGGAAAATTGCACATGTGACACTCAGAGAGGAAAAGAAGTTTCGCTACCTTTTCCAGGGCACAAAAGGTGATCCACAGAACTCAGCTGGAGGAATTTACCTAGATGACATCACCCTAACGGAAACCCCGTGTCCCACAGGGGTTTGGACAATACGAAATTTCTCCCAGGTCCTTCAGAACACGATTAAAGGGAACGCACTCCAGAGCCCTCGATTCTACAATTCTGAGGGATATGCTTTTGGCTTGACATTGTACCCGCATGGCAGAGCCAACACCCCTGGCTCTGGATATACAGGGCTTGCTTTTCACCTGTGCAGTGGGGAGAATGATGCTATCCTGGAGTGGCCAATGGAACACAGGCAGGCGGTAATGACATTACTGGACCAGGAGCCCAATGTCATGAACAGAATGTCCCCAAGCATGGTGTTCACTACTTCGAAGCTCCAGACAGGTAGGTGGTTAGAAGAACTACCCCTAAGCCTGGAAGGGCCAGCAGAGGTGATTCTCATCAACTTATGTGCAACACAGATACCTTGGAGTATTAAGTTAATATTTGCAATGCTGTTGTATTTCTTCTCTTTTCTAAACTCATTCATGAAGATTCTAATGAGGGCTTTCAGTGTGCCAAATTCTGTGCTAGATTTTTTTTTTAAAGATGCGTTTTATTTATGTATGCACATAAGAAGTGGGGTGTTCCCAGAGGCAAGGGAGAGTTAAGAGGATCTACCAGAAACAGAGTGGGAAGAACAGGTGGATTGACTGAAGAACACTGCTGAGGGGAGCAGTGGGCAAGGTGGGAGAGATCTGCTGTGCCATGTGGGCTAAGCATCCTGCTGGGTATCAAACTAGTGCTAGTTTGATAGTGCTGAGACTTTAACCTTTGTATCACCAGGGAGGGCCTCTGTGCTAAGTCCTTAGAACACTAGCAAATCAGACAGCTCCTGCCTCCTAGAGCACAGTCTCATTGAGAAGACAGCGACTATCAATTATTAATCAAATAGAATTTGCTGCACTCTGAATAGAGCTAATGCATTGACTCCTCAGTTATCACTGTCATTGTGTTCATGAAACAAAGTTGCTTCAGTAAAGAAATGAGCAAACTATTTGCTGAAAAGAAGAACATTTAGTCATTAAAGGAAGCTCTCTCTCCATCTTCACTAAGGAAGTTATTCAGTAGTAAATAGTCAATCATTCAGAGCTGGGGCTTCCCACCACCTTCTCTTCCTGATTCAGACTTTTAAATCTCCTGGAAGGAGTAGATAGTGAAAAAATACATATTTTTTTCAACAAATTCTTTCTCTGGTTAATAAACTCTCTATAATCATTTAAGACAAACTGGAAAGTGAACTATAACAAGTCATATGATTTTGTGCATCCCCTAACTTTGCAGCTGCAGATGGCTCCTATATCTGGGACAGGCCATCCACTGTGGGAACGTTTGATAAGGACTGTAATTGTTATAGAAGCATCGATTGGGGCTGGAGTAATTTCATCACCCACGAAATGCTGAAAAGGAGGAGTTACCTTAAAAATGATGACCTCATCCTTTTTGTGGACTTGGAAGGTATTTCTTGCTGGTTTCCTGAATAAATTACCCTTTGTTCTGTTTGCTCTACTCATTTTTTTTTTCTCTAATCGTTTTTTAAAATGAATTTATTTTCTTACATCCTTGTTAGTTTTTGGACACTATTTGATTGCCTCCCTCAAGTGTAGTCCCCATAGTTCTCCCACCACCCCTATTACTCATCTCCCCATCCTTTGTGCTCTTCACTCCCCCATTTCAACCTCCCCCCCCCTCTATTTTTAAACAATTCATAGAGGATGGTAAAACTTTTTTGAAGACTGTTTTTAAACAGGTGTTTTCAATTAGAAACACACTTGACGACTCAAGGATTCACATTCTATTTTAACTATCTTTAGGAGACTCTAACTATTTTGTCTTATTTTTTGATAATTTATCAAATAGAGCTATTTATTGACTTCAACTTAGCTTTAACAGGTCTACCCATGCTAGCTTTATGCTTATTTTTTTAAGTTCAATAAATAAAAATTAACTTTAAAATAGCTAGTATTCTCTTTACATAGTTGTATTGTAGTTAAAAATGCCTATTTTAACTACTATAAAATAGTCAGCATTGTAGATGTTTTAGTATTTTTTTAAAAATTTATTTATTTATGCATACAGAGCTGGAGTATAGGCCAGAGGTTGAGGGGTGGTGAGATGATTCATCAGAGACAGAGTGGGAAGCAGAACAGGCAGATCAATCAAGTACACTGCTGAGGGGAGCAGCAGGTGAGACAGGAGAGGTCTGCTGTGCCCCATGGGTCACCTCTGGGGCCGGGGGTCAAGCTCACACTGAAGTGGCTACAGCCAGCTTGCAGTGCTGTGTCATAACCTGTTGTGCCACCAGAGAAGGCCTGCTTTACCACTTTTTTAAGTGCCTAAAATTGATGTCCATGAAGGATCATGGTCATCTAGATAATGTTCTCTGGGAGCAGAAGTTGATTTTAGTCAAACATTAATTGTAGATTTTCCTCATCGCCTTTTGTCTATTTCCTCAAGATATCACCCACCTTAACAAGACTGAAGTTCCCGTTAAAAACACAAGGTTGACCCCTCAAGGACTCATTCTCCAAGACCAAGAACAACAGACTTCAGGAAATCCAGAAAACGCTGTGTTAGAGAAAGCCCTGTCAGGAAGCCTGGACCAAGGGCAGACCAGACGACAGAAGCGGTCAGTGGAGAACACAGGCCCCATGGAAGACCACAATTGGCCACAGTATTTCAGAGACCCCTGTGATCCCAACCCGTGTCAAAATGAAGGCCTCTGTGTGAATGTGAAGGGGATGGCGAGTTGCAGGTAGGCTCTTTGGCCAAGGGCAAGCAGTGGTGGGTCGGCAGACAGCTTCATCCTGTTCTCAGGGCAGTGATAGCATCAGACAATTAGCAGGACCTGCCTTTTTTGACCCCACAAAGCTGTGCCCTGAATAGATGGTCTTAGGCTATCAGGGTTGAGTGGGAGTTCTGGTGCCTACATCCAGGTTTGCTGTCTGCAAAGTTCTTTATATTTAATTGTTCTAGTTTTTTTTTTTATGTTTGTCATTTGCATAAATATTTTGTTAAAAGATGTATGAGATAACAGAAACTTCAGTTTTATCTGCCAGAATAATAGCAGATATATGAACCAATCTGCTTGCTTCAAAATATCTACTGTTTCCTCTGAGTCCCTTCCCATTTCCACTTTGTTTCTTCCTTTCTTTCATAACATACTTCTGTATTTCCAGATCCATTGCAAAGATGCTATAGAGTTCTCCATACTCTAGTCTTAGATAGCTAGTGTAAAGTTAAGGAAGCCAAGAAATGAACAAAAGGAGCAAATGCTATTTAAAATTTTCTTATTGGAGTATATGTATATGTTGTTTTAAAAGATTATGTGGGCCATAGGTGTGCAGCACCTGCATATACCACTTCTATGGTCATCCCCCAAAGTCTAATTTTTATCTATTAGTGTACAGTGTGTCCCTTTCCCCCTTCGATAACCACCATTTTGTTAGTGTTAATTCAAAGCAGGCCTTATTCCGATTTTCCCAGTTTTTCCCAATATCCTTTTCCTGCCCCAAGACTCAACTCAGGATCTCACAGTAATAATTGGCTTTTATGTCTCCTTAGTTGCCTTCTATCTGGCACAATTTCTCAGTCTTTTCTCACCTTTTATTACCTTTCTGCTTTTGAAGGGTCAGTTATTTTCTAAATTTCCCCTCAACTTGGGTTTATCTGTTTTCTCATAACCGTGTCAAAGTTGTACACTTTCTGGTGAGACTAGAAAGGTGGGACAGACCTTTCCCAGAGTAGCATGGAGGGCAGTTGGTGCCAGCATGTGTTGTTGCTGGTGACGTTAGCTTTGATGTCCCGGACAAGGCAGTGTCCACCAGCCGTTCTAGCGAAGGGCTGTGTCCCGGACAAGGTGGTGTCCACCAGCCGCTCTAGCGAAGGGCTGCCATTGCAGCTTTATGACTGACATCCACCTTGGGAGAGACAGTCAGAGGTCATGGGACTTCCTGCTCCCCTCAAATCCTCTCACCCACTGATCCCAGCACCCCACAGTGGGTCTGGAGCAGTTATAGCAACTAATCTAATTCCTAGCTAGAAATGCCACCTTAAAGGTATAATTGTTCCAGAACTAATCAAAGGAGGCTTCGGCTTCTCATCATCTTGTTCTGCTCTGTGAGTAGACTTTGTGACAGAAATGTTCTCTGAAACAAAGACTGGGATTGTAGGGTCATTATTGGTAAAAGCGACTAAACACTGCCCTTAAGGCCTTTGTTCTGAGATTAATTGATCTTTATACCAAATGGAATTTAAAAAACAAGTGTGGCCATGATGTGCCTGCTGTGTTTACCATGGGCTGATAGATACGAGGTGCTCACTACTTTATGTGAACTTCAGGCCAACATGTGGCACTAGCTGGTCTTTTAAGTGCCCTACAGAGTTCTTTAAATTGACATCGTCTAGAAACTTTTAAGCCAGGTTCTATCTGAAGAATTACCCCTGTGGCTCATAGTCTCAGTAACATAATTCTTTAATTACTCCTACACTGACCTCCCTTAACTTTGTTCACAGTGACCAGGAGACTCGGGTTGGGAGAGAGGGCACCAGGGTTAAACCTCAAGTGTGAAACACTGTCCTTGTGATCTTGGGCAAGATATTTAACTTCCTAGCCCTCACTGGTGGTGCAACGGGTAAGAACACAGCTCTGCAAGCTAGCGGTATCTGCTTCCGTGCGAGTTCAATCCCACGCCCCAGATGTGACCCACATGGTGTGGCAGACCTCTCCTGACCTGCCCGCTGCTCCCCTCAGCAGTGTACTTCATTGATCTGCCTGTTCTGCTCCCCGCTCTGTCTCTGGTGAAGCCTCTCATCACCCCTGTACCTCTGGCCTATACCCCAGATCTGTTTACATAAATTAATAAATCTTAAAAAAAAAAAAGATACTTAACTTCCAGGAAAATGAGGATGATGAGAATGAGTGCCAACTTGTTATAGGGTTAACAAGCACTTCCTGTGGGGCCAGGCACATGAACCTGTTCAGGAGGTATCCGCTGCCATCAGTGCCGTGTGGGTGCTTGTCATTCAGAGGTCCTTGAGGTGCAGGTGACTCCCGCCTCCCCTTGTGTCTTCCCCAGGTGTGTCTCAGGCCACGCCTTCTTCTACACTGGGGAGCGCTGCCAGGCCATGCAGGTGCACGGCACCATTGTGGGCCTGGTGATTGGAAGCACTGCTGGTGTGATCTTCTTGACCTTCGCCATCATCTCCATCATCTCCAAATCAAGGCAGTGATGCACCTGCTGATGACACAGGTGCCGCCTCCCCTCACCCAGTGCCCATGCCCGGAGCTGTTGGGTGGTTTTATTTACCTTGCTTTAAGTAAATCACCAAGTTCCAAGGATTCCAGTCTCCTGTTTCTCATGGTTTCTCTGCCCCTCACCCCCACCTGGTTCTGTTCTCCTGCTACCTGTACCTGCTCCGAATGTACCTAGTGTGTCTTTGACAGTCTCTCACATTTCATTGTCAATTTCCTATTTCAGCGACTGTCTTTCCCGTAGACTGGAAGCCCCACGGGGCAGGCCATCATTTCCCATGGGGTCCCCCAGTGCCCAGAAGTGTGCAAAGCACGTTGACCTTAACAAATGTGAATAAAGGAACTCCAAACCGAATGAATAATGATGTTATAAAAACTCTTATTTCTCTGGCAGATAAGAGCTGTCCAATGAAACTCACACATCATGTATTTTAGAAACACATGTTTAAAGATTCATTTTTCATCAGAACACAATAGTGTTATTAATCCTTTAAAGTCGTGTATGTTAAAGGATTTCAAATTCAGTTTCTTTCTGGCAACTTGGCTTCTTGACTTTTGCTTTTCTCCTTCTCTGATTCTAAAGAAAGAGCCTTAAATATTCAATGAATATATAGCCAGTACCTTCCATGTGTCCAGCTTTGTATGTACATGTGTGGGTTGGGGGAGGGAGAATTGCTCCAAAGCTCTTTCTCAGATCTTTCTAAATTGGAATGTTACACAACATCATTATATTAACAAAGTAGGACCCTCCTACTTTGGTGCAATGGGTTAAAGCCCAGCATTTTAAGGGAGCCACAGCCACTTCAATGTGAGTTCAATCCCCGGCCCCAGAGGTGACCCACATGGCGCAGCAGACCTCTCCTGTCCCACCTGCTGCTCCCCTCAGCAGTGTACTTCATCAGTCTGCCTGTTCTGCTCCCCACTCTGTCTCTCACCACCCCTCTCACCACCTCTGCACCTCTGGCCTATAGCCTGGTTCTGTATGCATAAATAAATAAATCTTTAAAAAACAAAACAACGTATCAGGTAGAAAAGAATTTTAAAGAAGTGTTTTCAACAAACGAATTTTAAGGAAGTACTTTGAAGAATGCTTGCTTTCCAAGTCTCCTAAGAAGACAAAACCCAGCCAGATGAGAAAATTCTATGCTAGATCAAGATAAAGGAAAATGAAGTCCCCACCCCCAGTCAAAACCAGTCCCACAGAGCTGTCTCTACTGGTTATTAAAAAGAGTTTCAAGGCTTTATGTGGGCTTTATGCGACCAGGCTTCCCAGTACATGTCCCATGGCCATGCTGTTAAAATACACTGCAGGTTGGGCCCTCCCTGGTGGCCCAGTGGGTTAAAGCACAGCACTAAGAAGCTAAAGCCACTTCCGCATGAGTTCGATCCCCGCCTGCCCCGGAGGAGATCCATCCACATGGCGTGGCAGACCTCTCCTGACCTGCCTGCTGCTCCCCTCAGCAGTGCACTTCATCTATCTGCCTGTTCTGCTCCCCACTCTGTGTGTGGTGAATCCTCTCACCATCCCTGCACCTCTGGCCTGTACCCAGTTCTGTATCCATAAATAAGTAAATCTTTAAACAAACAAAAAAACACACTGCAGCTAAAGACAAGCGACTATGAAGAGACCCTTAATGCAAAGTTGTGGGGAGAGTTTGTGGCAGCTGTTAATGCAGTGTACACATGATTCTCTTTGCTTGGGTTTCCTTATTGTGAATAACACTTTGTGTCAACTCATATTTTTATGTGTTTCTGGGTATGAAACCAAGGAAACAAATTTCTTGTATTTGTTTTAATATAAACACATTTTTTTCTGGAATCTTCAAACAAATTTAATTTTCACCATTTAGCAAAACCATTGCAAATCCTCAGAACGGGGAGTGTTCAATAGTGAGGTGGGATGGTAGTGACCTCTAATGAGTATTCATAGGAAAGAAGAGGACAGGAAAGATCTGATGTGTGTGTGTGCCGGGGGGAGGGGAAGGAGGCCAGCCCAACAGATCGTGTGCACCTATGTGTACACATGTGTGTATGTAAGAGAGGGGCTAAAGTGAGATGGAGCCAGACAGTGAAGACAAGACCCATCTCTCCTCAGCTTTCTAATTTTACCCAGGGCTGGCCTGGAATCCTAAAATAGACTGAGACATGCCCTCATCTGGGTCACAGCTTCCCTCAGGGCCTAGACAAATTTAGGACAATCTGACCCATGTGTGACTCAACAATGGAAACCATCAGGAAGAGTAAAAGATTTTTGTCTGGTCAAGAACATAAAAGGAGAGCAGAGAGTACAATTGTGAGGAAGGAATGAGAAAGCAGGAAGCAAGACAACGTTCTGATGATCAACCCCAAGCAAAAACGTCCCAATATGCAGGTACCCGCTATTCATCTTCAGTAACATCTCAAATCTTGGCTGGTCAAATGAGTGCATAGAAAATTGTTTACATTTGCCTGCTTCCCTTGCAGGTTTGGAATTGTGTGACCAAGTTCTAGTCAGTGGGATGGAGGTAGAAATGTTGTATGACAGTTTCTGGGGAGTTTCTTTTAAAGAGCTTTGTTGTACTCATGGTTAATCCTTCGTGTTTTAGGGGGAACAGGACTGATAAGGGGACAGGATGACCAGAAGGGGAGGTGCTAGCTAGGCCTCTGCCGGAACTGGGAAGAGCAGAGCACAAAGATGGGAGTTCTGAGTCCTTGAGAATTGTGTGGAGTCAAGCTCACCATACCACCAGTCTTAGACTACTTATTTATGCATTTTAATTGCTAGAGAAATAAACATGTTTAAGTGACTGCAACTCAGGAAAACATCATCCTCACGATGGTTTTGCAAAGCTGGCAGATGATCCTTGCACCACCATACAGATATACGTACTGATGCGGGAGAAATTCTCAGTGCAGGGGATGGGGGGCGGGGTAGAGGTGGGGGGCATAGCCTAGACTGAGACACCTTCAGGGAGGATGGCATCAGGGTGCATGGAGAAGTAATAGGGTGAGGTGGTTATACGCACATGTACTAGGCCAGGCCTAGAACCTGCACGTGGACCAGGCCTTCCCAGTCTTCAGCTGTGTGACACTGTGCTAGTTACTAACCTCTCTGTTCTTATTTACTGATTATAAAACAAAGAGAAAGAAAATATTTCCTCAATTCAGAGTAGCCAAAAGGCTCAAATGATGCTGTAGGAGGAAACAGTTGAGGAGAGCACCTGCACACAGTAAGAGCTCAACACATGTTACTTCACAAAGGAATATATCTAATAGCCATTTTCATCCAAGGGTGACCTTCATTTCCTCTCTGGGATTTTGTATGTTTAGGGTCTTTTTTCCTGCAGATTCTGTTCTCTGTGACAGAAATGTCCAACATAAGGGAGAAGGTGTGAGAGAGATTCTGAGGGTCTCTGAGCGATATCCCCAGGCCTGTGACATTCTCTGTGGTCTATGCCCAGATGCAAGGCTAGATCAGCTTGTCTCTCTGCCCTCAAGACAGCACTATGAGCAGCTGGAACTGTTTACTTCCCTGGGGTCTTCTTGGCTCACACCTAGGCTGGCAGAGCCAGCATTTCCTTTCAGACGCGTGTCCAGAGGCTAGACCAGAACACACAGCTGCTGGCTGGGGAGTCAGGCAGCCAGGGCCAGCTGCAGATGCAAGTTGGACAGAAAACAAGAACCCTGGCCAGCAGTGGTTTTCTGTGGATGAGTCAGGGAAAGGAATAGGACCATGTGCTTCAACCTTTTGAAAGGTCACTGATGGGATAAGTGTTTAGGTCCCAAGAAACATAAAAGGAAGGTATCCATTTTGCTTCCTCAAAAGACTTGCTGGGGGCCCTCCCTGGTGGTGCAGCGGGTTAAGCACAGCACTAAGAAGCTAAAGCCACTTCCGCATGAGTTCCATCCCCGCCTGCCCTGGAGGTGACCACATGGCGCGGCAGACCTCTCCTGACCTGTCCCCTGCTCCCCTCAGCAGTGTACTTCGTCGATCTGCCTGTTCTGCTCCCCACTCTGTCTCTGGTGAATCCTCTCACCACCCCTGCACCTCTGGCCTGAACCCCAGCTCTGTATGCACAAATAAATAAATCTTAAAAAAAAAAAGACCTGCTGGGTTCTTGTTTGGAATGGGGGAGGGAGGCCGCGACCAGTTCCTTGCCAGTACTGCTTTAATTTTACACTAGATTCCGTAAGTAAGATTCAGAAAATGAAGGAGGGTGCTACCTGGGCTAGCGTCGCTCTGAGCTGTGGACCTACCTGCAAACCATCTTGCACACTGAAACCATGTACCGAATGTTCGCTTTCCCCATATTTTCCATCCTTTTCCCCTGCACGGATCATAATATAAAGGTGTTAGCAGGTGGACAGTATTAGTGACTCTTTCATTCCTGCTTTTCCTCGTTTGTAGACCTTCATTTCCCCTTCCCCCAAGTTCACGTGCCCTGAATATCAGGTTTGGGCCAGAAAGTCACGCTTGTGCCGCCTTTGAGGTTCCGCGGGAGAGGGACTCAGAGGAGACACTTCCTACCTTGACCACGAGGTGGCGATCAAGCCATGGGAAAGGCTCAGTCCAGAAAAACAGTATATGGATGTCCTATTTTCCCTGGGTTCACTGAAATCAAACGCCGGGCTGGAGATGGTTGGCAGGCGGGAGACAGAAGATGGTACCAATCAAAATGGGACCCCAAAAGACAGGGCCCAAAGCCGTTCTTGGAACCTGTTGCTGAACATCGGAAGTAGATTGTGACAGCAGCTTCCCGTGACTTGCCCAACCAGTTCCTGTTGATTTTCATGCTGAGAAAAAGCGTTTTTTTCTGGGCTCCTGGTTTTGCCGTGTTTAGTTTTTTTTTTTTTTCCTCCCCCCCTCTCCCTGCCTTCTTATTTTAAGTAATCACCAGCATTTGGGATTTGGCTCTACATTGAAGAGCAAAAACTTAAGAGGTCCAAACGAAGCCATGTATCCCCTGCCCAGGGCCATTTGTACAGAAGAACACTGGTGACCTTTGAACTTGTCATCTCAGCATTTATAGGTAAAAGGGAAAGAGTGAAGGTCGACAACGTCATTTAACGTCCTGTCTAAAGGTTGGAGACCCACCGATGTGGCTTCTGGAGCTAAAAAAACAGGGTTCTGGCCCAGGTTGGCCTTCAGTAATTGTGATAACACAGCAAGCTCTCCTCCAAGAAGGCTGACAGGATCCCCAGCCACTTCCGCTTCCTGGGACCAACACTCTGTGCTTGCCAGCAGTCTCCAAGGTCGGTGCCCAACCGAGTGGCTCTCAGTCCAGCTGGAGGGGCAGTTTTAGGGGAGAGAGGTATTTGGGGCCTTATGGAATTCTAGCCCCACCCCCACCACGCGCATACAGGCCAGCTCAGGTTCTTCTACCCCGCGGTCAGTGTACAGAAGGCAGCAGGAGTAACATGAGCACTTGTCCGTGGCTTATGCTGTGAAGTCCTGGTGTCCAGTGCTGTGGCTTCTAGATACAGGAGAATGTCCACGTGCAGCATGGCCGAGGCCACTGGGCTGTGCTGTCAGAGTAAGTACACGCTGGATTTTGAGCACATGGTACAAAGAATTTAAAAGACATCATTTATAACTTACATTGTGTACATCTTCATATATGCTCATGCATAGCATGTATTGGGTTCAAATTAGTAAAGCTAATTTTACCTGATTACTCCTTTTTCCTGTGGCTCCTAAAAAATGTACATGTAATGCACATTTGGTTCTATTCAACAATTCAGCTCTCAGACTATCTGAGAAAGATACATTCACTTGCATATACAATATTCATAGGAAGTATGCTTTTTTCCCCATTTATATGAATGAATAAGGGATAAACTTCTTAAATCCCGGGGAGAGGAAAATCTTCAAAATACAAAAATAAGCAGCTTCTAAGTGGTATATGTATATGTGTATATATATATATGTATATATATATTATCCTAATATATGTGTACATTATTTTAAAAAATCACTTTTAATGTAATGAGCAGAAAGTTCCCGAAAAGCTTCTGTGACCCATGCCCACATACACCAGCAAGTGTGTGACCCATGCTTCTGTGACCCAGGCTAACATACACCAGCCCCATGAGACACTCAGGGTTCTTCTGAGATATGAACACTTTTCCATCCTGGGCATGAGTGTCAGGCTGTCAGGAACAGCTTTTCCTGGGAGGATGAGAAGCATCCAGGATGGGATGGATATTTTGATTTTATTTTTAAGGGTTTGGAGGTCTGGTGTATAAAAGCTCAGAGGCCTGGCTGGCACCTGCGTTATTAGTGTTCCGATCTGTTGGCCTTAATGTCAAGGGTTTATTAGCTTCTGGAGTCCACCCCAGACTGGGGAAGATGGTCAGTTCCAGAGTTGAGCTGTCTCTTTTCATCTGGTTTCCAAACACCTGAAGGTAACCATCATCAGGTGTTTCCAAACACCTGAAAGGGAACCATTCCCTGAATTTCCACACAGTTGAATGCAATTCCCTTGGGAAGGGTGCCTCCTCTCATATTTGCATATTCTGCAAACAGAGTAACACCGGATTTTTGCCACACATGAGCTTCATTATTGATATGCCAAGAAGACCCTGCTAGGCAAAATTATCATATGGATAAAGAAACATTTATAGCTCGCATAGCTATAGCTAATGTGTGGTGTAGACTCTGCAAAGGTATGTGGGTACTAAACTTTGTTTAAACAATCTAGTGAAATACGTTGTATAAGGTTCTTCCTTGACTGTGGGCTGACCTGTGGATAAGATGTCATTCTCATCAGTAAATTACATAATATGTCAAGGAATAAAAGAGTTTGCAGATGTAGTGACTTGGAGATTATTTGGGGTGGGCCTCATCTAATCAGGTGAGGAGGGTGGAAGGTCAGAAACCTAAGTAAGAGATTCAAATCAGCACAAAAGCTCTGTGATTGACTTAAAAAAAAAAAAAAATGCCCGCTTTGTGAAGACCACCGTGTAAAGTAGATGGTAGGACACAATTAGGAGATGAAAGTCTCAGACCTGTAACTCCAGAGAATGGAAGTGTCACCAACTAATGGCCTTGGAGAAGGACCCAGCCTGTAAATAAGACCATGACACCAGGTGACAGTTTGAGTCCAGTCTATTGAGAGCTGAGGAGAAGAATACATGCAGCTTGGGCTTCTAACCTACAGAAACAACCACAATAAATAGATATGTGACTTGAAGCTTCCAAATTACTCAGCAACAGACCATTAAACCAGGGACAAGGGGCCATATTGCAGAACTATCCATCATGAATAAAACTCACAGGGCTCTGTTTTCAGCGGTTCATGAAAACCTCCACCAAGCCACATGCTAAAGTTAGAAGAGGCATTTATTTGTTTCTCAGACAGTTAGATCCTCAAAGCTTCACTTCGAGGACAGCTGTTTAAACCTTCTGTAAGCTTCTGGGCTCCACATGCTGAGTGGGTGTATGGGTTGTGAGAAAATTCATGAGTCTTCTCAGCCAACTGGGCTGAGCTGTGAGGTTCTGGCAGCCACCCCACCACCACCATTCCTGGAGACTAGATGGGACCATCACTGTGTGGAGACTAGAATTATGTTCCTGTTGACATAGGGAGTCTGAAATGGCAGCCACAGCTTTTTGCAAAAGAGTAGGCAATTTATGTAAAGACAGCTCTGGGGTAATCTCAAATGTAGGTTCCCCCCCAAAGAATAAGAAAATACCAATTTTAAAAACTATTGCACTCCTGTCCATTGTGGCATTATTCACAACACCCAAGATAAGGGGTCCACCCACATGACCTTTAACAGATAATGGGACAAAAATGTTATGATTTCTGTACTCAGTGGACTACAGCCACGACCAACAGAAAGATGAATTTATTAAATTATTTTTTTTTTGGCGGGAAGGGGGTCCAAACCTCCAAGTAACCTTAAACGGGGGGGGGGGGATTGTTAAATTTATTTTATGTTTTAATTTTAAAATATATTCATTCCATCATCTTTCATTTTGTACAGTGTGTGATTTCTTGCCATTTGCAGAAACAGAGATGAACTCGGGGTGGCTATGCTGAGTAAAATAAGCCAGAGAAAGACACAGAATGAGTTCACTTGTATGTGGCACATAAAGAAAGAAAGCAGGGCCCTCCCTGGTGGCACAGCAGGTTAAAGCACAGCACTGAGAAGCTAAAGCCACTTCAGCTTGAGTTCGATCCCTGCCCGGAGGTGACCACATGGCGCAGCAGACCCTTCCTGTCTTGCCCGCTGCTCCCCTCAGCAGTGTACTTCGTC